CTTAATAGCTTATTTTATTTCGGGGGGTGGTGGTTTGGGTTTTCATTTTTTTGTTGGTTTTGTTTTGCGAACCAAATTGCAACTCAGTTTTGGAAATAGCTGAATTTTCTGTTGATGATGGGATAATTACAAACCAAAGTATCCATGGTACAGTTTCTAAATTTCTGTGCTTTTCTTGCTGCTTCCCTCCTAACTATGATCAAGAACTTAGGTCTTCCTACTACCCAGTTTTCATCTTTTACTTTCCCTCCCTGCACTCTCTAGCACTTAATTCACAGACTTCAGCTTCTACTTGCATGTTAATGTGTCCTGTCCTTCCTTTCCCATCACTGGGTGGCCTCATTTCTGCACAGCAAGGTCTGTCCTGCAGTCACCAGTTCTGCTTCAGTTTTCACATATAATTCACTCTTAACCTGCCTGCAAATTAACCTGGTTAGAGGGTGTTGTTTTGACCTACTAGAAGACTTGCAAAGTGAGATAGAGAAGTGTGTATGCTCTACCTTTATTGTTATTTATATCTTCATTTATCTACTGAGTAAAGATCAAATGTGATCTTGTCATTTGTGTTCTTACATAAAACACATCTTCTCAGAACAGTTCAACTGCTCAGCTCCAAAAAATGTAGTACACTGGGCTGTGTAAACAAGAGGGTCAAGACCAGAGACATGACAATTGTTTACTGAGCCTGTCAGATGCCTTGAGATGTCTCTACTGGATGCCAAACTTTCTGCTATATTCCCGTTGACTCTATCGGACAATTAAACTAACTCTGAAAATTGAGAAAATTTGGTTAGTTTGCTCTGGAACTACATTGGCCCTGAATTGTTTAGATTAATCTATGGAAGAATAATAATAAAGGCTACTTGTGGCAAGGGAAATTACCAAAATTGTTATAAAGATGTCTTAAAGAGTTCAGATGTGAGGTTCTCCTTGGGCTAGGGAGAAGGAATGGAACTCCATCACCCTCTTAAATTTCACTGTAGAATTTATTTATTTTAAGAATTCGGTGAGTGACACAATAATAGCTGCAAACCTGTCAACATTAATTACCAAGGTTTTACAGTAGTTGTAAAAGATACTGCAGTAGGACAAGAGAGTACAGAAGGCTTTGTGTACCACTACATGCCTACTTTGCTTACCTAAGCTCTTGTAGCAAACAGTCCATGTAAAGAATTCATTTTTGCAGCATCATACCTCAGGTTTCTTGTGGCCAACACTTCAGAGGAGCTTATGTGGATTAAAAACCTTTTCATTAACTAGAATTAAGTAACTTGAACATCTTGGGCTTTCTGAGGTTTGGTTTTGTAAAATGACTAAGTCGTTCTACCCCAATTCAGTGTTTGTGTACCACTACATGCCTACTTTGCTTACCTAAGCTCTTGTAGCAAACAGTCTATGTAAAGAATTCATTTTTGCAGCATCATACCTCAGGTTTCTTGTGGCCAACACTTCAGAGGAGCTTATGTGGATTAAAAACCTTTCATTAACTAGAATTAAGTAACTTGAACATCTTGGGCTTTCTGAGGTTTGGTTTTGTAAAATGACTAACTCAGTCATTCTACCCCATTTCAGTGTTTTGAATTACTAGAAGCAAAAGTGTGAGTAGGTCTTTTACATTTCTGTGAGGATAATAGCCAGGATTGCCTTCTGAAAGGGCTACACAGAGTTGTGCTGTGTGTCTGTTCTTAATAGTGCCTGAGTCTGTTAATACTTTTCACAAAACACTGAAAGTAGATGAAGCCCCTGAGATGAGCTGCGTGTGTTTGGGGCACTGGGAGAAGACAGCTGTTCATGGGAGAGGTCTCGTGAATGTCCTTTCTGAGGAAAAGGCCAAAACAGAACAAAAAGGTCAGCAGCATGCCCAGATGCAGAGGAGCTAGTTGGGTCTCATTCTTTCTCACTTCTTTTGATATCCTACCTGTATGACAAAGCTTCAGTTGGAACTCGGGCAGGGATTTTTGTGAGGTCAGGAGTGTCTAAGCTTTTCCAGGGGCTCTTCCTGCTGTTTGCTACTTTTGTGGGTGTTTTTTGGTTGTGGTTTGGTTTTGTTTTTTTCCCCTCCCCTCCCCCCACAGTGTCTTTGGAGTTTTAATTTGTCTGTCTCAAAACTTTAATTTCAAATAGGTAGAAATATATCAACAGGACTGTAAGCTCAATCTTCACGTTATACCTTGGCAGTATTCCTTATTTTGCAGTTCTAACAACAGTTCTGAACTTTCCCTGAAAAACTGGAAGATGAATTTTCAGTGTTTCATCTCTTAGGACTTTCTTAGATGTAAGACCTTCCTTCTTTTTTTTCCTTCCTTTCTTTTATACATAGCAATTTTCTCTCATGAAGTATTTGCCTCAAAGGTATGTGTTCTCACACTGTAATTTCCTTTTTCAGTTGTAATTGCAGTTGTAGGACTTCTAAAACGCACACACACTTCCCCCTAAGTAAGGGCTTTTTCCTACCTTTCAGTTAGTTACTTGTAAGCATCTATATTTGCTCAATTTTGGTCCTCAGCCACCTTGTTAGACTGCCTTAGGTTAAATTTTCCCCACCTTATGGACTTTGTTGATTTTCATTGTGTATGTTCTGGTGGTTTTGTTGTGTTATTTTGCTTTGTTTGAAGCCAGATTGCAAAAAGACTGTTTCTAAACAGAGTAGAGGTGGATGGATAGGAAAGCTGATATTTATCACAAATATTTGTTTAAAGAGATAATCGGGCCAGTTAAAACAGATCTAATATTTAAGAAGCATCTATTTGATGAAACAGCTCCATTGTTTTTCATCAGCCACAGCTGTTGTAACTGTTCCCTCTGTGGAGGCAGATCTCTTGTTATGTAGGTCACATCAAGGAAAAATAGCAGCTGAACACTTGCTTCAAGTATTGTAGAGGAAAGTGCAATCAAAATACTGCATATGTTACCACTGAGATGTTTTGAAACAACAAGAGGAGTTACGGAGTAGACTTTGGCAATTTATATGAAGACATCTTGTGAAGGTGGAAAAGTATCCAACCATCTTTGCCCTGTGTAAATAAAAGTGATTTGGAAACAGGAGGAAACTGGAGTTCAATGGCAGAATCTGAAAACAGAGTTCCTTGAAGGGATTTTTAAATAAGAGGAAAAGAAAGTAGTTAATATGCTTTGTACCCTGAAGTGAGCAGCTTAGCTCCCCTTGAACTTAAATAGTAAACAGGCTCTTTGGTTTTCATCTGCTCTGTTTGTTGGAAGAATATTCTTTCCAGTTTTTTTATGGGGGAGGGGAGGAGGGCAAGAGTTTCTGCTGCTTCACTTTTGAAGCTGTCTGCTGCAGCAGCTTTGCAGATGATGTGACTGACTACGTGCACTTCCTGATTTTTTTAATTCGTTTTTTTTCCACACCCTTTCTGTTTCCCCTTGGTATGAAGGGAGAAGCTTCTTGAAGAGGATGAATAATAATTCAGAAGAAAAGTAAATAAGGGAGAGTATGGTAGTTATTGCTGAGACATGTTTCATGTAACTTTGGAAGCAAGTGTCATGTTTAAGGGATGACACGTTGCATTAATGTGCTGTGTTCTCCCATCATGTGGACAAAAGCAATAATTTGAAATCTTGTGATACAGACCCTTCAGTGTGCTGTGTGGTGATAGTAGTAGTCAGAGAAATTCTTTGATACAGGGGTCTTAAAAAAACTCTAAAACTGAGTTTTGCTGCTACTCCCTGAGACCATATCTGCTGTGAACTCAGTTGTAAGATTTTATCTTTATTGCTACTAGTAGAAATAATAAACCAAACGAGGTTTCTAGACTGCTTTATGTGAACATGGCTGATTATAGTGCTAATAATTATTTCCTTATAGTTGAATGGAAATACTTTCCACACTTGGAATGTGTATTTTGGTAATGCAAAATTTGCATGAGGATATTTAGTATAGAATGTCACCACATTTACATATGAAGTACTGGTGTTCTGTGAGACTTAAGATGTTGTCCACACCACTGTAATCTATACCTAACAGGTTTTATTAATACTTAAGTATCTTCAGTGGATTGAAACAGCTTTGAAATTGGATTCTGGACTTCCAATGGCAAGTGGGTTTATATTCTGACTAGCAGTCAGACACCAGTCAGGCACAACTTCTTTTGCCTGTAACTGAGTTTATGTAGACTACAAATTGCTGTATTTATACTTCTTGTACAGGATTCATCCTAAGGCACAGTCAGGAAGGACATACAACTGAGTTTTTCCAGTGCCTTTGCAAAGCTTCCATCTGATTTCTGTATCTCGTTTGCTGTGTTCTAGACATTTGGTTTAGGCCTTTGTTATAGGTAGGATTAATACATGATTCTTTCAGGTGTAGTTCTGTGGGGAGTAGATGAATTGATAGAAAGCTTAGATCATTGTGATCTCTGGGTTTGCATTTTACATTTAGAATACTGGGTAACAAAAAAGGGAGGAGATGTCTTGATTGTCTTGTAAAATGTAAACCATTACTTTATCAAAGTGTACTTCTGAATCTAAGGGTTAGACATAGCTGTTTATGAATCTGATGTTTATTGTATACTGGGTGCTTAATAAAACATGTCAGTTTATAGTGTCTCTTGAATTAAAGTAGGTGAAGGGTAAAGGGCTAGTGAGATGAACTCTAAACTCAGCACTAAATTGAAGATCAGCACAGATTTTCTTTGTTAGCATTTATGTATGAGGAAATTTAGCTACTTTTATTTCTTCCAAGTCTTCATCATTTAATAATCCTGTGACTGTGGCACTTTTGAGGTAGCAGGTGGTGGTGTGTGAGTACCAATGCAGCATTTGTGGTGTAAAGATTTTTTTAAGGAAATCATGAAAACAAATTTCATTGCTTATTAAAACTGACTAGAGCCTGGAAAAGCAAACTTAATTCCTGTGTTAAAAGTATGTTGCTGTATACTTACCAAATCGGAACCACTACGTTGTTACGTTTTCTTGTAGGCAATTAAAGCAAGACATAGAACTTTTATTTCTAATCAAATGTTCTTATTCTAGCTGACAAATCCAGACCACCTTCGTCGAGCCCTTCCAGTATTATCCGCCGGACGTCCTCGCTGGATACTCTTGCTGCTCCATACCTTGCTGGACAGTGGCCTCGTGATACTCATGGACAGGCTGCTCCATGTATGAGAGACAAAGCCACACAGGTAGGACAGGTTTTTGTCTTCTGAGTAGTCAAATGCAAAGACAGGCTTTAAGTGTTAAAAGTTTTTCCATTCAAAACATTCACTTCGGCTTTCTTGCTTGCAAGTAAATTCCTACTCTCAAATTGCAGAAATCCAACTTTTGCTGGGTGAATTACTTGTGTTCTTCTCTGTGAACTGTATTATCTGTTAAGTTTTCTACTTTCTTCTTGCCTCCTATAAAACAGTAGTGTATTGCACACCTGTTCTCTCATTGTTCTGTGTGTACAGCACACTAGATTGCACTGGTGTGAAGTACCATTTTGTTTACATTTATACAAGGGAACTTAGTGACTCCTTTTATGTATGTCAGTCTTAAACCTGAATAAAAAAGCTTCTGTAGTGCCTGTATAAAAGTTACTGTACCCTTTTTATGAAAGGCTGTTCATCCTCTGGTTGTAAAAGGCCTTTAGTGCTCACCTGGGGTCTATGCACCAGGTACAGAACTGTATGCATTGAAGAGCTGCCTCACCCAACTATGCATTACGTTGAAATTTGGCTTATCTGGAAAGTATTAAAAAAGTTCATGATTTCTCAACTTGTTCAAGTTTTTTGGCAAAATTTCACAGGCTTTTAATGGTTCAGTCCTATGCCACTTGTCAAGGCAGAATCAACAAACGATTGAAACTGATGTTGCAACAGTTACATGCTTATCATGACAATTGTTTTATCATTCCCCTTAAAGGGAGCTGTTATGGGTATCCTACTGTATGCAGAAGTGATCCAGGATGGATTTTTCCTTAAAATATCCCAGCATTTCATTTCTCCTCCTGTGGATGCAGGCTGGCAGTGGCTTTCACTATTCACAGAGTGAAAGAAAGAGCCAGACAAACCTGATTTAAATCCCTATTTTTACAGCATGGTTTCAGCAGCAGGTCTCCACCAATTCCAAGGAACATAAGCAAAATGCAATTGGGAGAGAACCTGACAGCAGGAGGGACATAATTGAATTTGACCCTGCCTTAGGTGTGGTAACAGTAACAAAGATGTGGCTGCATAGGTTTCAGTGGGTGTTCTACTCAAATATGTAGGGTATTGATCAGATGATGCCTGCAGCATTGATTGTTGCTGTATGGCATGAAGAGATCTGCAACATTTTGCAGATGGGACAACAATTTGAAGTCCAGATCAGTAGAAAAGTAAGGTAGTTTGTAGGGGAATGTGCCTGTGTGACTAAAGTGGACATGGAGACTGGTGAAGAGAGGAGAGCTGAGGAGCAAGTTTTCTGTGATGAATCAGAAAAATGGTTGGAAAATGTGGTGGAAAAGGTGAGGAAATCATAGCAAGAGGGGATGATGAAGGAAGGTGTATGATATACAGGGAACTGCTGTTCATGCTTAGCTATTAAAAGGCATCATTAAAGGGCAGAGCTAAGCCAATGTGGGTGCCTTAGCCATTTATTTTTATATTTTATTTCTTAGGATAATACTTTATTCAAAATATTTGTTTCTATACTACTGCTGAAGTATTTGCTATATTGAGTTGATCTCTTTCAGCTTAGTTTCAGTTTGATCTGAGTCATGGTTGGGCTTTTTATAGTATGTGTATTTTCTAGCTAGATCAGGTAACCTTTTTGGCTCAGATTTTTCTTTTGTCTTTTCCTTCCATAGTGGGGCTCTTACATACCAGGGGAAGCACTTGTGAAGACTAATGGGAGGACTGTAAAGGGCATTGGATATTTCTGCAGAATGAGTATATTTAGTGGTGATTGACATTAGTATACTGCTGAGGGAAACAGGATTATCTGTTTGCACTTCCTAATTTAAAATTTATCAAACCAGTAGAAAATTTTGGGATATAGACATCTATCAGTACTTCCACAGCTTGTGTTGCTGTGACAGTGATGAGATAACTTTGCTTTTAATCTTTCTAGTGCGCTTGAGAACAACCATTTGAGCTAGGGACAAGTTTAAAATGTGATTTACAGTAGTTTCCAAAGATAGCATAGCCTCTCCATTTGTATGTTTGGATGAAGTTTCACTTGTAAGATATTCTGGCTTCAGTGTGGAATTTCAGATTTCATAAAGTCTGATGCAAAATGGATGTGTTCAGATTGCTTGTAGGGAACAGGAATTGAAACTATTAAGATATAAAATTTTCAAGGTGGGTGAGCAGGGTATCTTAATTCTGCAGGTTTATGGCATAGGGAGTAGAGTAGTTTAGGAAGCACACTGGGAAGAGACAGCAGTGAGTGTCCTGGGCTCTGGCTAGAGTTCCTACATGCATATATTAAGTGCTGCTAAAATAAGTGTTTGTAATCTTGGTCTTTTCCCCTTTGAATCAAAACTCTTTGGCTTTGCCTGTGGTTGTTTGAAATACAACTGTGTTAAAATGAGACAATTGATTTGTATTTTTTCTAATTCTTAAGGAATAATTCATTTCAGCTGCAAAGTTTTTTGCCTCTAAGTTTTTTTTTCCTTAAGTGTTCTACTATCTACAAGAAATTTAGCCTTAAACTCAATTTCTCTGATTCTAGAGCAAGCAAAAGGAATGGTAACAACTAATAAGCAAGTAGCAGTTCTTGAATAACCTGGAGAAATAGAGATCTCTTTGTATATTGGTTATTTGGTCTGTTTCTTGAAAATAAGTATTATAAAGAAAATATAGGGAATAAATAGGAGGAGACTTTCTACAGTAGTATTAAGTTTCTTTCTTGATGCAAAAGCTTCCTATAATTTAGTGTCTTATATCTACTCTTACTCTATAAGTATTTCTAACTGTTTGTTTTGAGGCTGAACCTCAAAGCAACCTTTAATCCTTTAAAATTAATCAGATATTAATTTATGAAATGTCTTGAATCTTAAGTCAAAGTCTTTGATATAAATTAAATGCAAGGACTGATTAGAGTGCTAATCAGATTCCTGTAGGCAAGTGTAATGGTGCAGTTGGGAAGTTAGAATTAGTGGCTAAAACTTATTGTTTGAGGGAATGGGGAATAGGATGAGAATCCAGGATGATGTTTGAGAATTGACTAGGCAATGATTGCTACTTGGGAATGGGGGTTATTAATTACTCTACTTTATGAAGAAGATAAGCAAGTGCATTTCTGAAAAAATAGATTGTAATGGACTCTAAACTTGCTATGAAATAGGAATTCCAAAGCAGACCTACTAAACTTATTACTAATATTTGTCCTACTTAATCATCATTTAAAATCAAAAATTGAAAACTGCTGATGTTGGAGGTTTCATTTCTATGACTTAGATTTGTGACTGAGGCCAGTGGGAGTTGCAGCTTGTATGTTTGGAATAAAACCTCCATTTTCCCTGCCAAATGGGGGCTGATACCACATTGAAGGCCTGGTGAGTTTGTGCCTCCTGAGTACAAATGTGGTGACTGAGGTCAGCTGGTGGCTGGCGAGCTGTTCACCTCAGGTGGAAGAGTGACTGTTGGACAGTGTAGGTGTGAAGGCTTTGGGGCAATCCAGGTTCTGTCTGCAGGGGGTGAGGTATCAGTGACTCCTAAAGGTGTGTTAGCTAGGTCACTGCTGTGTGCTGAGAACTGCATTGTGGCAAGGGTGAGTTGAAAGGTATCCAGCATCTCCTGCAGTGTGCAACCTCCTTCCAGAAATCCTGCCCCCTGCTTCATTAGGTGTGTTTCTTGTGACTGCTGGAAGATGCCTGATAGATGTTACTGTCCCTCTTCTTGGAGCCTCTACAGTTCACTGCTTTTGAAGGCCAGTCTGATGGTTAGGTGGGAGTGAAACTGTCCATAAAGCATGCAATATTATCACATTTTGTTACCTTCAATAATTGTAGTTTGTCTTAGTGATACTTTGACTTTCTCAGAACTCTTTTACTACAGTGTGTTTGCAAATTTCTTTATTAAATGGTATTGACTTTGTTGGTTTAGTGAAACTACCTTAATATTATCTCTGCTGCTTTCTGCTTGGCCATAGACAGCTATGAACCTGAAGGATTTTGAGGCATTAATAAATTAATTCTCTGCTTTGCAATAACTCTGGTGGTGTTTATATGCCTTGCCTTCCTTTTTCTCATTCACCTGAGCAAGGTGGTGATTTTGAAGCTGTACTGGTGCAGACTTTCACAATGTTTATGCCATGCTACCCTTGCTAATACCTCAGAAATAACAAGGTCAGCATCTGTGCAGGAAATAAAATATACCATCTTTCCCAAATTCAGCACTCCTAATGGTTCTTCAGAGCTCTAGAGGAGCTTGTGGTACATCTGGCTGTTAAAACTGCCTTATGCTCAATAATTTGGAAGAGAAACTAGCCCACTCCTGCTTGAGAATAGGTCTAAAAGATTTTATTGGTTTTTTTGTTTTAAATTGCATACTAGCACTCCACTTTTTCATACTTTACTTGTCAGAAAGGCTTCTAGTCAGTGACTGCTTTCCACATGCAGTTCTGAATCTAGCAAAACTTAACACGGTTCTCTCTTCTAATTGATCTCAAAATATTCTGCCAGAAAATAGGAATTACCTTTTTTAGTTAATCCTGTAATCTCCTTGCTGCAGACAGAAAGTGCCTGGGCTGAAGAATATTTAGAAAAGAAGAGAAGCTCACACAAACGTTCAGCATCGTGGGGCAGCAATGATCAACTCAAGGAGGTCAGAAATCCTATTATTTGAGATACCTTTGGCTTAAATTTTTAGTGGTATGCACTGTCACTGTGAGTTTTCAGGTAGGTATGAATATTGTACTGCTTTGTTTTATTATGCAGATTGTGGGCTTGGTAAAAATAAAAAGCTGTTCATTTGGAGTTGATTTCATAGTCATTAATGAAGGACCATTAAAATTTTTAATCTGAATTTGTGGGAAAGGAAGTGTCAGATGCAGGTGACATTCTCCATCAAAGGAGGAAATAACAGCTGCAACCAAACTGCTTTAAACTTTACGTATTTCAAGGTTTTTTTCATCACACCTCCGGAGTTGTCTTCTGGGCTTCAACTGAACTGATAGCTAACATTAGGATTGCAAGAACTTGACTATAATTTAGTGCTGGCAGTAATTATAAATGTTGTAGTAGTAAAGAATTTTAACTAAGGGATGGAATAAATTGGTGAAGCTAAGAAGATCTGGTGAGATCTAATATGAATTTTTGTTCTTAGATTGCAAAGTTGCGCCAGCAGTTGCAGAGGAGCAAACACAGCAGCAGGCACCATCGTGAGAAGGAGAGACAGTCTCCATTTCATGGCAACCACGCCGCCATCAACCACAGTCAGGTGAGGCTCTGTGCTTTCTGGGCATATTGACAAGCTAAGACTGTTCTTAACTCCTTTCAAATTTGTTATTTGCCTTAAAGAGAACTTAAAAATACCATGTACTGCTAAATACATTGTAGCTATAGGTGGATTCCATGAAATCCCTTCCCTTTGACTTCAGTACATGGGGTTCCACACCTTTTTGTTACTTGGCTGGATTGACTTTCAACTACCCCTTTCAAAGAATTTCAGAAAGTTGAATCATTCCTTAAAGCAAGACTCCTAAAGAGAGTGTTTTTTTCATTACATGTTGCTATAACAATTCTGAATTTGCATGTAGAATATGGCATGGGGCGAACTGGTGGGAAAATGATACACTCAAAATTTTAGTTTTTGCTGATTGTTTTTGTCTGTGCAATAGCACTTTTCTAATCCTGTGATGAGCTGATTTAGAGAGTTTATCTGATAAAAGGGTATTCAGTAAGAGTTTTATGTACTCAATTTCAAGTGTTTATACTTTTGGTGGCTTCATTCAGCCTTTATAGTCCATTTAGGTTTTTTTCCTGTCATTTAACATGCCTTGAGACTTTAACTAGTAATCACTGCAAAAATTGTGATGGTTAGGCCACAGTTTTGTGCAATTTCAGTTTTATCTCAAGACAGTTAATGAGGTCAGGTTCACAGATATATATATTTTTAGTTCAGTTGATAGGTGGAAAAAGATTACAGCTTTCAGGCAAAGAGATCCTTTTTCAAGTCTGTTTTGCTTGAGCAACTTTAAGAAAACCAATAAGAAAGTTTGGTAATTTTTTTTCAGAAAAAAGCCTTTTTTTTTCCCCCCTACTAGTATCTTATGCATGTATATTTATGATGTATGTGCACAGGGGTTTTTTTTTTTCAACAGTTACAAAAAGAAGTAGTCCCTCACAATCATCTTACAAGTCAATGTAGTTGAATGCTAAGGTATTGCCACTGTGATATAGATAATCTTAGTGGTTTAATGTTGAAAATGAACAGTGATGCTGCAACTTTGAAAAATACACACACACCCTCCCAAATTAAGTACATACCTTTTTTTTGCATCATAATTACTTCATTATTATGCTCATGAAGTTTTGCTTGTATGGAGGTCTTTTGCATTCTGCCAAATTTCAGAGTTGCACAACAGATAATTAATTTTTGGCTTGTGAAACAAACTATAAAATATAAACTGAGGCAAAGCATCTTTTCCAGCATTGTGTTACAAGACAAACCATTGTTTTTCTTGGTAAATTTTGTGCCAGCTGTGTCAAGCTACTTGTGAAAGGGGGAAGTTACAGAAGGCCTCAAAAAGAGTAAGTGAAGGGTTTAGATTAGTGGCACTTAGAGGCTACTTTCCAAATCAGAGTGAAAATCTGTAACTGTAGGCATCAAGGGCAAAGTTCTTAGGCTTTCTCATTCCTTTCTAGGGAACTGCTAAGCTAGATTTTCTGGCAGCAGCTAGCTCAGTTCCTTCAGGATTTGTGGGAAGGACTGTGTGGAAACACTTGCAGTTAGTGATTAGGATATTTGGAAATTTTTTTACATTCCCAACTTGAAGGAAACTTGCAGTTGTTGACTCTAGAGGGTCATACAAAGATTTCTGAGCTCATGGAGTTGGATTCCTTACAAAGCGGAGAAAATGTGCTAGGAGATGATCTCAGTAGACCCCTCACAGAAACCAGGTAAATGCCAATGTTTTGGAAATGGCTTATTCTTCAAGTTAAAGCAAAAAGAAGCTATTCCAGTAGATTTATTTCCTCTTTTCTCCACTAATAATAAACATTTAAGCTTTGCCACAAGTTTGAGTTTTACCAAAATTTTTGCAGTGATTCTTACCACCTAATCCTCCAACTGATGATGGTTCAGTTGTGCTTCTTTCTTCTGTGATTTTTCTTTGAGGAAAGCAAGCCATGCAGTCTCTACAGAATAAGCTTATTGCCTATTCCTCTGTCTACTCAGAATCAGGAAATGGTGAGGAACTTGATCCAGTCTTTGATTCTGACTGCACTTTTTTTTTTCCAGAGTGATTGGAAGCAGTGGTGGTGTTGGTGTTGTTTTCATGATGCCAGAAATGTTCCATTCTGCCTCTTTCTAGAGGAACGGGGGGTTGCAGAGTGATTGGAAGCAGTGGTGGTGGTGGTGGTGTTGTTTTCATGATGCCAGAAATGTTCCATTCATGGGGGGTTGCAGAGAGGTCATAGCCTCCTCAAGTGATCTCAGGATGCTTCTGAGAATGCTGGGTTTTGAATTATTTTCATGGTAGTAAATCTATTAGAAGAGCCAAACAATCCTCAGGGTTAATATAATGGAGAAACTAGAATTCAGGCCAGAGCTGAAGGCAGATGGAAGAATAAATGGATTAGGTCTTTCAAAATAATGTTTTATCCTTGGTGCACGTGGGTGATGTTATGCTGCTCATGACACCATGAAACCCTCTCTCTTCACTTCCCTGAGCAGCATGTGTCCTTAATGTCTTGCCAATAGATTGATCCTGAGCAACCACTAATAATGAGACCAACTGCATACATTTTGCAGTGAGGGTGTTTTTTGTGTGTGTACATTACTCTTGCCACCTTACAGAGGTGGAACATTTAATTTTTAGAGTGGAATTACCATGATACATTCAACCTTGAGATGGTTTGATGTTAATATCTGAAAACATCAAAAGATCTTGGGTTCCATTCAAAGTTCTGTTGCTTGTTGAAAAATTGGAAGAGTTTAGAGCTCTGAAAAAGCCTGTGAACAATTTAGATTTGTCATCATCTGTGTTTCCTATCTCAGTAGTTTATGCCATCCCAGTAAGTTTCAGGACTTTAACTGTCTTGCATCAAAACTCTTTGACACTGTAATTATTATACTGGGTTTGGCACCTCACTTAATTTTGTGCATTCCCAAATATGCAGATGAGTAGCTAGAGGTTGGTGGCCTATTCCTGTACATGGTGGCTCAGATCCATCCAGACCTCTGTGAAGGCAGTATTTCTAATACAAAGTTTCTTGTTTGGGGGCTGCTTGTTCCACCCCTGCAATGGAACTTCCTTCCTTCCCTTTGCACCCGCTGGCACTACAGGTTAACGAGCCATTCTCAGTCATGGACAGAATATTTTCTCTTGGAAGTGAAACATGCTGCATTCAACCATAATGAACTCTGCTTAAACTTCTGCTTCTCTGCTTTGAGCTCTTCAAATAGTGCTATGATTTTAAGAAATGCTGTGGGCAATCATTTAGAAGTTGGAGAGTTCCCACATTTGTTAATGGCTGCTGAAATCTTAGACAAGCATAGTTGTATTCTGCCTTCTACTTCTTAACAAGTTCAATTTTTCCTAAGAATGTGTATGTTTAATAACTGGGTACATAAACAGTCTTTATTAGTGTGTAAACTCGTGCTGATATGACCATACCATGACTGAGTATTGACCTGTATAAATTTACTACTTTGTTGATCCAAGACCTTGTTTGGACCAGAATTAGGAGGGTTGCTTTCTCAGACTTTTTTTTTTTGTGCTATTCTCCAATGGATTCTGTTTTCTCTTTCATCTGCAGGCAAGACTTTTGAAAGTCTCTCCAAGTTTGGCCATTATGTCAACGAAAACTAAACATTCACATAAACTCTCACAAGCATTTCCTGAGCAGAGGCTTTTGTAGTCTTTGTGCAAGTTTCTTTTTATAGCTATCTTAATGTTGTAGCAAAGCAAAACCAATATAATCTGTAAATTCTGCCACTGTAGAGACTTGTTATTGTGAGAATGTCTGCATTATGGCCCACACTTGGAACTCCCTTCTTTACCTTCATTTTTCTTAGTTTTTCTGTCAGGCAAACTGCGTGGGTTTTGAGAAGTGATATGTGAAGTTGCAATGCTCTGGTGTCTGTCTATGCGGGGTCTTGTTACTTAGAGGGGGAAAAAAAACCAAACAGCAAAACACACACAACAAAACAAAACCATGCTCCCCCAACAAACAAACCCCAAACAAACAAACAAAAAAAAACCCAAACAAACCATTTTGAAGGCCAAGTGAGAACACTACATTCCTTTAATCACTAAGAAGATGTTTTCAGTCACAGCATAGGAGGCAACAGAGTCTTGAGAGTTTTACACAGGAATTCTGCTGTGACTTCAAGTGTCATGCTTTGCTTTGAGTTGAGCTAAATGTTTGCTGGAAGGGTTCCATTATCTGTAGCAGTGCTTTGCATAATCACCAAGAGTCTGTGTTGAAGTTAAGGGCAGGATCTTGTAAGGTTCTGGTAGCATGGATTTTTTTAACAGGGAGGAGGATGCTGATGGAGAGAATGGGAAATCTTAAGGTTGTGGTGTATACAAAGGGGCTGTGGAAAACTTCAGTAAATGTGTTTTCTGGGAACAGAGTTTTCATGCATACTTTGAAACACTGGTTTTTAAAAATGTCATCTTGATTCTGAACCAGCTACGTATTAATATTTGGGTTTGGGATTTCATTATTTCTATGGAAGATGGAAATGCTTTTTAATATTAAATTTTCACTTGAAAAGCAATGTCGAGCTGGAGGCAGACCATATCAAGGGAAGTACAGAGAATGGATTGTTGTAAACTTTTCCTGATAGAAGTTAGATTTGAAACAAAATTCAGAATGTCTGTGTTCATTCAGGGCATTCATCTTAACACAATCACTATAGTTTCGTGTAAGTTCTTTATAGTGAGTTGCAGAGGTGTTTTTCTCAAAGGTTCACTTTTGAGTAGAAATAGTAACTGTTTTGTGAGTGAATCTAAATTGCTTTCTCCCTGTCTCTGGTTCTTCAGGCTCCCATCCCAAAGAGTGCTCTTGTTCCTGTGATACCTATTGCCAAATCAACAGGCTCACGATTCCGAAACAGTGTGGAAGGATTGAATCAGGAGATTGAGATCATAATTAAGGAGACAGGAGACAAAGAGGAACAGCTCGTTGTATGTATCTGCCACCATGATTGCTTTCTATGATTATTTTGGCTTTGCTTTGAAGCTTTTAAGTTGTAAGCCTTATTTTGCACAGCTTTTAAACTACATTTGTCTGGAATTAATTTTGCTTTCTTTAATAAAGGTAGCTGAAAAAAGCTCTTGGAAAGCAAAATGAAGGAAAGTGTTTAAAGCTTGGATCTGAACCTTTTCCTGTGTGATTACTGTGATGTAATTGGTTTTCCAGTAAAATAACAGATCTCAGTAAAATGGGGAAAGACCAAAGGCCTGTTTTGAGAGTTACTTTTTCTTCTCTCTGCCCATGCTGTGTTGTCCCTACCCCAGCTGAAGCATAACTTGCCCATTTTTAACTTTCATTGTATTTTTAGGTATTTTTAGAGGTAAATGTAGTAATAAAGTATGGTAAATACAGGCCACGAAGATGATTAAGGGACTGGAATATCTTTCATATGAGAAGAAGCTGAGAGAGCTGGGACTGCTGAGTCTTGAGAAGAGAAAGTTCAGGGTCATCTTATGAACGTGTATAAATATTTGACGTGTGGGAATGAAGAGGAGGGAGCTGGACTCTTCTTAGTAGTGCCAAATGACAGGGCAACAAGCTGTGGGCATAACTTACAAAAATGCTAAATCTGAACACAAACACTTAATTTTTTTTTTTTTTCTTCTAAACATGTGAGAGTGCTTGAAACTGGAGCAAGTTGCCCAGAGAGGTTGTGGAATTACTGTCTGTAGAGACAGTCAACACTTGACCGGGCAGTCCTGGACAAACTGCTCTAGCTAATTCTGCTTGAGAAGGGTGTTGGACTAGTTAATCTCAAGAGGTCCCTTCCAACCCCAGCAGTTCTCTGATTCTGTAAAACCTTAAAAATTTTTGTCCTTGGTTTCTGAACGGGCAGTCCTGGACAAACTGCTCTAGCTGATTCTGCTTGAGAAAGGTGTTGGACTAGTTAATCTCAAGAGATCCCTTCCAACCCCAGCAGTTGTCTGATTCTGTAAAACCTTAAAAAATTTTTGTCCTTAGTTTCTGAACCTAACTTTGTTTTCTGCTTGATTCTTGCATAATGAATAAAATTCTCTACTTCAGATGGTTTTATGGAACTTGAAAACCCCCTCGGTGTTAATGGATTTAAAGAAACTGCTAACCAGCCAAGTGCAGCTGTGTGTTTGTTACTAAAAACCTGTTGTTTCTAACAGCCCCAAGACATCCCAGACGGGCACCGTGCCCCCCCGCCGCTGGCCCAGCGCAGCAGCAGCACCCGCAGCATCGACACCCAGACGCCTGGCGGGGCAGACAGGGGCAGCAACAACAGCAGCCGCTCCCAGTCCGTGTCTCCAACCTCCTTCCTCACCATCTCCAACGAGGGCAGTGAGGAGAGTCCCTGTTCTGCAGATGATCTTCTTGCTGATCCCAGAGATAAAGGTATTGTGGAGCTTCTAACGGGTCAATAATGCTCAGCTTTAACTTGTTGCATGGGCATGAACAGGTGGTAAAAGAGGGGGTTTGTTTCCCACAACCACGGAGAAATGGTAGAATGTTTTGTCTTTAAGTGGTCTGTTACTTTTCCAAATTGCTCAGTTACTATGTATGCCCAGACATCTAGGGCTCTCTAATTGAAGCTGGATAGACGTGACTAAGGCATGTGCTTCCTGAACCAGTTTTTGTTTGTAAATAATAGATTCATCACATACTTGAGGCAAATTGAAGAAGCAAGAGTGTACAGCCACAGGTGGAACAGCAGTGTAGGCTAGTCCTGTTGCTTCTATCAGCTATTTCTGTGGCGTCAGCCAAAATGGGCAACCTTGTAGCATTTCTTACATGTACCTGTGAAAGTTTTACCGTTTGGGGGTCTTTAATTATTCTTTTTTTACCAGAAATCTCCTGAGATATATTAGGAGAATTTTATAATACAATATAAACCTGTTCTGGTTTTTGAGGCATGCAGCTTCTACTGATCTATTCTGACTAGATGGTGACAGCATAGGACCATAGATTCAGTTTTCAAGGTACAAGCTGAAAGTGTCCAGGAATGAGCAGAGAGCCTGAAAATGATAGAAGGAGAAATAGGTAGGAGGAGAGGGATTGAGATAAAGCTTATTTGCAAATGAAGACTTGGAGGCAAATGAAAGTGTTTCATAATTTTATAACATTGTTAATGAAGTGTGTTTCAGTTGGGGAGGGGCATTTAAAGATAGTTATTGGGTTTTTTATAGTGTGACATATTTAACTAATGAGATACTCTGTTCCTGCAGACAATGGGAATAATTCTCCCTTGCCAAAATATGCTACCTCGCCAAAGCCCAACAACAGCTACATGTTCAAGCGTGAACCTCCAGAGGGCTGTGAAAAGGTGAAAGTCTTTGAAGAAAGCTTGTAAGTTGATCTTTGCTACATGAGAAATAACATTTGACATGGAGAGTTACCCATTGGTTTATTGATTTTGTGTCAGCAGCTGGACTAATAATTCTGATCTAAAACCATGCTAACAGCTTGATCTCTTTTTTGTATGCCTGTATGCTGGTATATGTGTGTATTTTATTGCTGGGATTCTGAGTTAAAAAAAAAGTCTCTCAAGATTCTATTTTAAAACCAGCATAACTTGAGAGGAGTCTCTTCCCTGGCACACAGTGGGGGAGGAACTCAGTTGAGTGCAGAGGGCTGTAATAAACTGTCGTGCAGGTGCATCAGCTAATACATGTCACAGACAGGCACAGTCAGTAATCTAGACTCTGAAGACCATATTCTGTACAGCTACATCTTTGTAATTGTGAAACTTTCAGTACCAAGTGAATTTGACCCTGAATATATGATGCTTTGGTTATTCTGAGAGAGCTAACTGTTGTCATTTGGGAATATTTGGGGGGATTGATGTTATCTTCAGTGGAGTTTTTGTACCTTTATGCCACTTGGATACAAGAATCTTGACCTGTAGTTAAATTTCAGTTCATCACACAAGGAGTATAATTTGTTTATAGTCCTTATACCTCTATTTTCTCAACAATGCCATCTAGTATAAGTAGTAATTACACAAAGGCAGCTATAATTGTGTTTGGGGTTTTTTTCCCCATTTCTGAGAACAGATTTAGGGAAGTCTCTATGGCCTCTCATTAACAATGTGGAAAGGGTTACAGTAACTTGTTCCCTGTCTCTATTCTAGTGTGTCTAAGTTATGTTGTCAACAGATGAGGTAGTCTTCACTTGCTCCAAGAACATACTTTGTTGTGACTTGACTTGCATTTGCATTTCTTTTTGAATGCCCTTGCTGCATAGCTGTAGGACTGTTCTGCTCTAGAGTGAAACAGGCTTCTACACAAGTTATTACCTAGCTGTGACAGTTTTTAGGTGCTGCAGTCTCCAGCAAAAATCTTTCATATCTGGTCCTTGTATTCCACATGCACATGGACTACATGAATGTAACTATTTTAAGCTCAGCCTTTGTTTAATTTCTATTTGAAGTTTACAAGATTTTCATTTGAGAAAAATATTTATAAATGAAGTTGAATTTTCTGCACACTTGGAGAATCAGCTAACATTCCTATAGGAGTATACTGGAAAATTGGCATGCTTGGCCTACTAGAATGAGGACAGAAGTACCTACAGCTGTCTTAGTCACATGGAAGAGAGGGGAATGTCACAGCTAAACAACAATTCTGGCAACAAGAAAAAAGGAGTATAAATTTCTGATGGTTCTTTTCTAGCAGGGCAGAGACAGGTTCCCATAGTTCTGTCTTAGAGTTAGACCAGTGAAGTAGATTTACACTGCAGGGTTGGTGACAGTCCCAGAAGGCATTCCTGTGCCATGCACAACTTCCCTTCCAGCTCTGTGTTTTGTAAAGGGTGTTTCTGAGTTGGTTGATTTGTATGCTGAGATGGCAAAACAAAGTCAGGGTGTAAATGTGTTCCACACACCTTTCCAGGTTAGAGGTACTTGATCATGAGTGCCACTTTGAGAGTGCTACATTTCACTCTCTGCTTTGAGTTTTTAAGTAAGATGGGCTCATCTTTTACCAAGGTTCAGGCTACACTCAGGTGAATGTGCCAAGGAGGCAGAAGTCTAGACGAAGGGATCCCCCTATGATCATGAACAGCTCTAAGATAGGCAATATTAGGAACAGCACTGTGGCAGCTTTCTTTCACAAGGCTTGTTGTGTAATGAGTGTCTGTGCCAGGGGCAGAACTTGTTGGGTTGTGAAAGTGTCTGGAGAACATGATGAAAAATACTTTCTGGAGTATTGGATATCCAAATTCATGGATAGAGGGACAGAGTCTGTGATCTGCAAAGTGAAGTTAGGGCCTTCCTTGGGTTTGGAGACAGCCTGCCCTGAGAACACACTGTGTATCTTGCAGCATATATAAACAAGCAGTGTTGCCATCTTGCTGCTTGGCATGTGGTGCAAGTGTCATTAAAGCATTACTGAGTAGCTGAAATAATTCAGGTTTAAACCTCATCTTGTCCCTGGTGCTGTGTTCAGCAGCACATACCTGCAACTGACAGAGTGGGATTGTTCAATGTCATTATAAAACTATTGTGTGTATTTTATTTCTAGGCCAAAGCCATTGCATGAAATTCCAGCCTTCTACTGCCCTGACAAGAACAAAGTGAATTTCATTCCTAAAAGTGGCTCTGCTTTCTGTCTGGTCAGCATCCTCAAGCCACTCCTTCCCACACAGGATCTGACACTGAAGGGCACTGCACACAGCCTGACTGTCTCCTCCGGCGTGACGCCCGGTTTGTTACAGCCCATTTCTGTGGCCTCCTTGGCTGCAAACACGGATCAAGACAGGATCTCTCACGGAACAAGTACAGTAATACCACAGACCTCTATACTCCAGCAGTCAGGACACATTGAGGAAGCTGAAGGATAGCTGTCTTGACTCTTTGGCTGAGCAACTGCTGGGGAAAAAATTGAACCAGGTGGCTGGACTTTCCTGATCACACTATTTTGCATAGTTTTAACAATTTCTGGCACTGTCATAATTGAACTGTTTGTATAAATGACAGTTTGGTAGCACATATTGAAGTCCAGGAGGATGCAGCAGCTGATACTCTGCTTGTGAAGACTCCAGTTCTGATTCTCTCCTGCTTTTTTAAACACTGGTGAAAACAAAGACTCTCATAATCCTTTACCATTTAAAGGACCAGTTGTTGTGATGCTGTGTGCCCTTTGACTTTTTTTCCAATTAAAGCAAAAATCTCAAGACCAACCAACTGATCCCATTTACCATTGTAGTCTGCAGAGGGAGGGGCAATCTGATTGTTTTGCAAGATATCTTTTGTATGAAAATGTGGGTTTTGTAACAAAAATTTGCCTTTTCTGGTGTGTAGCAGATGGTGTTTAGAAGACTCTTTCCTGGTGATGATTCCCCCCCTCACTTTGTTTTTGTTTGTAGGGAAGGTTCTTTTTTACTTGGCTGTTTTACAGCTGCTAGGACCAAAGGATTGCTGAAGTATTTCAGCAATCTCAAATTACGTGACCTTGCTGAACAGCCTCAGCTGTAAAAAAAGTAAGACAAGCTAATACTTTTGAAACTTTATAAACAGAAGAGTATCCAAAAAGCAGTGTTAGTAAATAGTGTACAGTTTTTTGATATCAAAGTTTGTGCTTCAGGCAAGTCACATTCTTAAAACTTCCTTCCTTCACAGAATTCCCACCAGTGTTGGTTTATTGACTGGAAAATTGCATTTTAAAGCACTTGCCCCCAGTATTGTTCTATTTGCCCATAGGATTTTTGTGCAGGGGTGGGGAAAAACTGTTATTCTCTTACTTGGTATTCTTCCAGAAAATACACCACTTGGCCCTTACAGGCTTGCTTGGCAACTTAAGGAGTTAGTCAACCTGAATCATTAATCTCTCTTGGCACAAATTTTCTCTGACATGACTCATCACTGTATTATAGACCCTGGCCACATAATAGTGCAATAGCTGTGCATGATTTCCTCCCTTCTGTCATAGCAGTGTTCTGTGTCTCTGTTGGAGGTGGTGGTTTGTCAGGCATAGTATCTGTTGCACACAAGTTCACAGCAACAGAATGATTCTCCCTTTTTTGACTAGCAACTTAGGCTGAGTATCAAACAGGATTTTGATACAGCAGTCCATGGTTCCTTTGAAATTTCAATAAAGGATGAAAGTGAGGAGGAATGGTGATTGCAAATGGAAACTGTTCAGGAACTTCAGTGATGTTTCTCCTGTCCCTGGAGTGTATTACTTGGGATTGAGTAAATACAGTGTAGATATGCAAAAAGCTGCAGTGACCTGGATACCACTGTCATACCAGCTTATAAAACAGGTTGGCCTTGTAGCTCTTTTAGATTCAGTAATTTCAAAGTACATGTCATCATGGACAGTCTCTGGGGTTGCATATTGGTCTGTTAGACACGAGCAGCTCTCACTGGCTGGTGTAGATGTAGCTTCCATGGATCAGCTGCATACTCAGGTCCTCTCTGAGCTGCAGCTATTTAAAGGTGGCACTGCAAATACAGCAGTTTTCATCAATGCTTAATGTGCTAAATGCCATTGCAAACATTTCACTTGGGAGAAAAAAATTGCATACCTGTGCATCAGAACTGTAATTATTATCTGCACATGTACTGTTCTTTTAAGTCCTACAAAAATAACTACAATAGCAAGGTACTTTACTCAGCATGTAAGTGTACATCACACTAGCATGCACAAGTCTTGTGTTGATAGTATAATAAATCCCTTTTTAAAACATCATGTGAAAATTCAGCAAATGAAAAATATACCAGAAGTATTAAAATATTACACCTGTTAAATTAGCTTACAAGCAGCATTTGATTGCTATCTTTCATCCCATCAGAATGGATATGATTTTGCAGATAGAACTAAAGAACCACTTTGAGTAACAGCTCTGATTTACACTGTGGAGGGACAGAGTTTTAAAATAAGCAGCTTTGTACATCAAATTTGTGTCATTTGGCCAGTTCTTAATTCTTTCTAGGTTTTGTAGATATTAATTAGCTTCTTCTGAAGCAGTTACAGTGCAATTTGAAGTCTAAAATATACTGCTTTAGATTGGTTTGTTTAAGCCTAGTATGACTGGATTCATGGAAGTTCAGGTGGAGGAAGTGCTTCTAAGTCTGTCTTGTTTCTGTAACAGTAGCATGTAAAGAGCTTCTCCATCAATGCCAAACTGCCTAGTGCTTTATCAGGACATCTTAACTCAATGGTTAAGAACCAAAGGGCTAAAGTTAACAAACAGCCTTTATTACAGCCTTGAGACTTAAATGACTTCACCAAAACTGCATTCTGGTGTTTGTTTCCATGACAGAGTGACTCCCAAATAGCAGTGAGCTTTCTTACCCTAGGACTTCATTTTGGACCCATTGTCGTAGCACCTGAGCACCTCTCTGGTAGTTTACATTGTATGTCATTGGACAGTGTACTGTACAAATTAGTGAGCTGCTCTGATAAAAAACAAATGTAAATGTGTGAGGTTTCTGCTTTTTATAGAACAAACTGCATCCAGGACAACATTCAGGCTTTTTTATAAGCAGGACAACTCTACTATTGCTATGGCAGCTCTATTTTGTTATGGATCCACACTGAAGACTCAGAATTAAGAAAATATGACAGCTCTTGTTCCAAGACCAGCTTTTACATGTGCATATACAAAAATTAGCCTTAAACTTTCTATGTGCTGTCTTGTGCCATTCCAGAGCTGTTAAAGTATTTAAATCAATTTCAGAATAGTTTTGAGAGTGCATGGAGCTTTTAAAAAAAGTCTTTTATGTATAGAGTGAGATGTTCAGGTTTTTTTTGTGAGGGTTCACCCATGCATTACTCAACCACAGTTTTACTGAAAGAGTTCAAGTTCTTTTGGCATACTTTAAATCCTAACTATGCACAGACCCTGGTCCGTTTCTTAAGCTACTTTGTAGCTTAAGAAAAATTAAAGATCTGTTTTTATGCACAACTTGACACGCTTGATACTCCTGGGTTTCTTGGTATTTTACACTTCTCCCCACACTTAAAGGCTGATGGCAGTGTTCAGTAGCACTGACAGTTGATTTTGAGATGTAAATTCTACCTAAATCACAGGGAAGGAAGTCATTATTGTGGGGAAGTTCTGTGGTGGCAGCTATGACTATTGGAATCCTTTTAAAAAAAAAAAAGGCACAAGGAAATAGGGGATTTCTTTGTTAAACTTCGACTTGCCTCAGCTATTCTTTACTTGCTTAGTGCCATAATCTTGTAGCAACTAATTGAAGTACTTGGAAAAGTACTTGAAGTATTAATAGCTAATGCTTGAGTACGTACATCCTGGAAATAAATCCTTGGGTGCACATACATATCCCAAGTGAGACAAAAAGGGAGTGAAAATTAAATACTGCATACTGTTGGAAGTGATTGCTGTGTTTGATTTATGTAAAGCAATAGCAGCTCTTGAAAATATCTTCAGTCTCAGGGCTATTTTTTGGTCTGTTCTAAAATACTGTTTACTGGAATTCAGAATCTGAGGTGGTTGGAGAACACTGCAGCTGAGTCTTTTGGGAAGGAAAAAAAAAAGTCATATCCATTAACCTTTCTTCTTCTTCAGGCCTGACTTCTTGTTGCTTATTGAGTTTAATGGTATTCAGTGGTATAGCAATAATTCCTCGTTGAAGTATGATCTGTTATCTCCCTGCCATCTCTGAAATGCTGGCATATTCACAGTAACTGGCTGCCAGTCATGTCCTTATTTCCTTGCTGAGTGCTTGACAGTTCCTCTGTGAACCTGAAAGGGCAAAGGAGAATGCCTTTGAAGGCACCAGAGACTGGCAGTTACAAAGATCAGTGCTGCAGGGTGACTCCTGAGGCACCTTGATTTCCATTTGACTCATCATGTGCATGCTCACATCCAGTCTGTGTAGGCCTGCTTCTTTTATCTTTATGATTTGAGGCAGAACTAGTATTTGTAAGACTTTATTTTTTAAATGGACAGACTTGCAGACCTGTTCTCATCCAGAAGTGATGAGCACTTACTTGTATGTCCACAGCTGGTGTGTCATTCTTACTTGTTCTCATGAAATTAGAACCTGTAGAAAAGACTTGGCACAAAAGCCTCTTAAACACTTGAGAATGTCAGGACTGTGCTTTCTCCATATAATTACATAGTTGAAGTGTGTGCCTTTCATCAAATACCATAGCCTAAAGACATTGTCAGGGCTTAGACCCAAACCAGGCTTGTATGTATTAAAACTGAAAGTGTTTGCTCTTAGAAAAGATAATAGAAGGTACAGCTTTCCTAACCTGGGGAGGTGAGAAGCACTGTGGAAGAAATGGTTTCATTGTGATCAAGGAGTTGTTATGGAATTGTTTTTCTAAACCTGGATGTGCAGGAAAACAGAATGACCATTTATTGCAAGAATTACCTGTATATTTTCTTGACGTGAGCTTGAGTGTTCAGCACCTCTGAAAACCAGTTCTGCTCTTAGCTTCCCATTTATACAAAGAATGACCTAGATGCATTGTTTTGAAACTGTTACTTTGGGTGTCAAGTCAATTGGGGAGAGAATGTTAACTATTTACAAGTGTTTTGTGTAATTCCAGTCCTGTACCCCAACAGAAGTGCAAAAGTCTCTTTCTGAATGCTCCAAATGTAAATGGAGTCGTGTTACTACTTGCTTGATTTCATTGCATGTCATCAGTAAATACTTAAGGTATGGTCTTTGTTTAATAGTTCTTTGGGATTTGTATTTGACTACAGAGATTTCTGTAGTGTTGACAGGTCTATCTGAATGGCAGAGGAGGACTTGGCCTGATAACACTGCAAATTAATTCCTTTGGACATAACTCTCTTTAGAAAATGTAGTAAGCAAAAAAAAAACAAACAAAAATAAACCAAACCAAACAAACAAACTTCCTGGACACCTCATCCACCCTAACTGTCAATGTACTGATAGTTAAGAATATTGCTTGGCTTTATTCTAAATTATTTCATTGATTGAAATGTGCAATTTTTGAGGGTAGCAGTCAAGGGGATGTCCAAAACTGCCATTAAATTTGCCTTTGTCTGAAATTGGCTGGTATGTTTTCCTCTGTTACACTGTGATAACTTGTGGAGGTGTTCTTGCATATGTTGT